AGCCTTGAAATTAAATTCAAGTACTTTAAGATTATTTTATATTCAAAGCAAAACATGAAGACTTCTAACATGTGGTTGCTTTTTTTGCTAAATTTAGCTATTTTTCCCTCTCATGAGCACAAATAACTAATAGAATACAGGACCAGAGCTAAAATTAAGATAGTTTCTTAGTCTGGGATCTCCAAGGGCTATAAACAGGCTATTTGAAATATATTCAATTTTTCAAAAAAAATTTATTTCCCCTACATTAATACACTAACAAAACTCAAAGATTTATTTAATTTTTAACTAGAATCCTACCAACTCAACTCACTGTGGTTATACCTTATATCCTGCAGAGCAGTAACTCCAACTGACAAGTGGAAAGTAAATCACAACTCATCTTAAAAATGCAAAGTTATTGCTTTGAAATGTACCTCAACAAAGTGTTAGACAAGGGTGGGTGTGAGGTAAAGATAATAAAATGAAGAAAAAGATGAGGAACACTGAACTAGATACTAAAAATTATCCTAATTTCATTGATGATAACATTAGTGGCTTACCTTTAGAAGCACAGCACTTAATTCTGCCAACCACATTTTTGGACAGGCTGTATAAAAGGATACAGTAGCCCCTTGAACAACACGGGCTGAACTAAGAGGATCCACTGTCTTTTTTAATTCTTTCTTTTTATCCTCACCTGAGGACATTTTTTCATTGCTTTTAGAGAGAGAGGAAGGGAGAAAGGAAGGGAAAGAGACAAACATTGACGCAAGAGAGAAACATCAACCGGTCACCTCCCCTATGGCACCCAGACCAGGGATCATGTGCCCCTACCTGGACCCAAAACCATGCCCCTTGGACTACAGAATCATGCTCCAACCAACTGAGCCACAGGAACCAGGACAAGAGGGTCTACTTTTTTTCGATAAATACTCGTACTATTTTTAATTGGTAGTTTGGAATCAAGGATGCGTACGGCTGACCATATACATTTTTCTATACCATTTTATATAGGGGACTCAGGCACCTGCAAATTTTGGTATCCTAGGTGGTGCTGGAACCCATCCCCAGCAGATACCAAAGGGCAACTGAGTTTTGGAAGAGTCAAAAGTTATACTCTGATTTTTAACTGCGCAAGGGCTGGTACCCCTAACCCCTGTATTGTTCAAGAGTCAACTGTTCTCTTTGACAAATGAGGAAGGAAACTGAGGCCCAGAGAGATTAAATTTTAAAAATCAGACAGCTGAAAACAGCGAAGCCAGGGTTCAAGCCTGTTATGTCTATTTGGCCTGAGTTGGGGAATTTACACTGCCTCTGAATAACAACTACTGAGAATTTAAGAATCGGTAAATTCACCTGGAATATCAGAAGCTGATCCAAGCTGGAGAGCACTGGCATATATCACGCATGTGAAAATATGTACAAAGACTTTAGACTATAAAATTCCTTATTAGTATCATTTATTTATCAATCATTGTGTAACAAAAAGTCAAATGTATTGCCTTTTTCTCTGCTCCTGTTCATTCCTAAAGGGGATTCTTCCCTTAACACTATTCTGACATTACTCCTCTTCAGGCCTCCAATACCCAATAACTTCTCAACTCCCAAATTCAATGGATTATTTTCTTTTTTTTTAAGATTTTATTTTTTTATTTTTAGACAGAGGGGGAGGGAGAAAGAGAGGGAAACATCAATGTGTGGTAGCCTCTCATACTCCCCCCTACTGGGGACCTGGCCAGCATCTCAATGTATTATTTTCATTCTCACCCCTCTTGATTTTATGACAGACCAGACCCTTTCTACAGCTGACCACTTTCTACACCTTAATAGTTCCTCTCCTTCCTTGGACAACACTCTCTCCCAATTCCACTTCTTAGTTCCCTTCCCTCCTCAGTTTCTTTCAGCAACTGAACCCTCTCCTCTGCACAACCCATAAAAGTATGGGTCCCCCGACATCCAACCTGGACTTCTTTTAAAAATGTGATTTACTAAATGAATCTGTTCCCAATTCATATTTACACAAATCTTTGTGCATTTCAATTTTATGGAATCTTTAACATTTATCCACAATCCTTCATTAAACTATAAACTACATGAGGGTGGGGTGTATTTGTTTTTGTGCCCCATATCATACAACAGATGCTTGGTGTTTGATGAATAAATAAAAGCTCCCTTTGGTGTAGCCTAAAACTAACAACTCATTGGAGCAGGTAGTATAACTAAACTGATACTATTTTTTTCAAAAACAAAGTACCATATTTTGCTGTGTATAATGGGTACTTGTTTGCACAAATTCTTGAGGGAATATTTTATGGATGCACTTACACATGGGTATAATGATTACATTTCATGGGTATAATAATCCCATGCATAATGTGCACAAAACCATGGCTGCTCATTATACACAGGAACACATTATATGTGGCAAAATACAGTATGTGGTAAGCCACAAAGTTTCTGGACCAAAGAATAGGTTGAGCTAGATGAGTAGATCCCTCCTACACCGCAGATAAACCTGGTATAAGGTCTCATATGCCAACTGACTATTGTGGCTCAGGTGGCTGGATGTCCAGCCATGAAACAAAAAGTCACAAGTTCGATTCCCAGTCAGGACACATGACTGGGTTTTGAGTTGGGTCACCACTCAGGCATGTGCATGAGGCAACCAGTCAATATTTCTCTCCTCTCTTTTCTCTCCCTCCCTTCTCTCTAAAAGCAAGTAAATAACAAAATAAAATTTAATGAGTCTAATAACTATTGTATGATGTCTTTAGCAAATTGTGAGCTTTTCCCTGATACTTTTTAAATCATCGAATCTTTTCTTTAATAAATTCAACCTTAGTGACTTCATTGCTGTTATTGGAAAGAACTGGGAAATACCTTCACTACCAATGAAACATACAAATTTAGAGCTTTAATTTCAGAGTTAAAGATACAAAGGGTCAGAAGTCTAATGGTATGTGAAAAGAAAATTACTTTAAATACATCACACAACTCATTCTTTCAATTTAGAATAAAATCTTAGAACTAGAAAGGAACATGAAGGTTTTGTTTACCTTCTTATCCAAGCAACAGTCCTATCTTCACAATCTTTGATATTTTTAAATCTCTACCCAATATTCAATCCTCTTATGTTCTCATTACCTTTAAAAAGTAAATCTGTTCATATTTTTAGGCAGATGACTGAACATAACACACATAAGGCTTTAAAAGGATAGGTAGAAGCTAATGCATAAATATATTAGAGATTTTTTTCAACTTCTCAACCACTGGTAAAACAATGTGCAAAATCTTAAGCTACCTTAAAGATGACAATTACATCAAGATCACCTCCAGACTCAATTAAATACAACAGTACCAATTTGATGAGCCTCTGGTGTGTGTATTAATAGAAGCAATGCAATGATGTAGGAACTGTTTGACTCAGCAGTAAATTTGCTAGAAAAACCAATCTTATTCTCCATGGACCTGGGATAGGTCCAATCAGGGCACCTTCGATCCCTAGCAGACAATCTTTGCTTCAAATCCCTAAAACAAGACTCATCTCTCAGTGTCCGAGGTCCCTTTCACCTCTGTAACTCTCCACACAGAACATGTCATTAATGAGAGGCATATCATTTCTGTAAGGGATGGCACATGATATGGAATCACTTATTCACAGAATTAGTGGAACAGTCTCCAACGAAACTGAAAGAAAAGTTTATAGTAATTTAATAAGAGTGACATTGAAATTCTACACTCAAAAGCATCTAAGACACTTTTATTTTCTCCATATCAGTTCCAGCCTTTGTTTGATGTATATTGTGCCTTTACTAGAGAGATGCCACCATTTGTAATGATTCAAATCCTAGTTCAAAGGTCAGACTAATTCAGAACTTTTTAGAACCTAAAACCCACAGGTAAAGCATTTTAGGTTATAATCACACATGCAGAAGGATAATGTTGCTCCTCATATATGATATTTCTAAGTCCGAAGGGAATACACTATGACAACCACAAGCTTCCGTGCAAGACTGATATTTTATCTTCGTTTGCACTGAAAGTCTTCACAAATAGACTTTTACTGGGTTCCTCTCAACATCTCATTTCCCTGTACTCTCTCCCCTCCCCTCACGCCGTGTAGGGAAAAAACAAATTTAGTCTGGTCCCTATTAAATCACTAAAAATCTTCCTTCTTGTAGAAGGAAAACAAAATATAGTTTGCAAAGATAACCTGTACATCTTAACGTGCAATAAGTAAATAAACAGCTGCAAGCAGATGACACACTCCACATCAAACCAGACCCATTTTGGTGAATTCCCTCCAGGGCCCAAATATATGTATTATGCAACAGCCACCATTCCAGATTTTAATCCCTGTCTGTGATGCAGTGATAAAATACAAAAGGCATGAGTATGATCCACTAGATATTGAAGAACATTTACCAGATAAAAACGAAAATCACCAAATTCTCAGGAACCTTGAAAAATGACAAACTATGTATCAGTTCAGAAGCATAATTACAACTTTTCAGTCCTGTAGCCTTTCTTGGTAACCTGTCCCGGCGGCCCCAACTCCCACAAAAATGCTCACACGTAAGCATTTCGACTGAGGTTTTGAAAGCATCTCCTAAAACGGGGAAGGGGCGGGCATCAGGTGGTTATCCTAAAATCTACTCCTTGTAAGGTACCCATACCAATCCCCAGAAGCTGAAAAGCGAGTATGATGGTTCATCATTTCTCCCAAAGGGCAGTAAAGGGGCAAATGTAAGCCAGATTCCTGAGCCATACACAACCCAATGCTTCACCTAGCCATCTCCTGGGGCACAGGCCTCGAAAAACTGTATAATGGAAAGCTCAAAATGAGAACAAAATTGCAGTGGAAGTGAATCTGCCTTCTGGAAGTGAATCTCGGCGATATCCACTCCAAAAGTAGTTGAAGGTCTGGGAGGTGGTCAGAGCATCACTGGAGGCCACCTCCATGGGTGAACCCGCGCCTAAAAGCTTAAGTTCCACACCGGGCCAGGTCGGCTTCTCACCAAGCCAAGGAATCGCCGCCGGCGGAAAGGCTCCAGGTGGGGAGCGGTGGAGGCGAGAAGAGTCAGCAAGCCCAGCCGGGGAAAGGAACGCAACTGAGACGAGCAGAGGAAGGAGAAGGCATTCCCTCACACAAAATGGTGGCGCCTACGCGGAGGCGTGCGCACCTGGGGGCCCGCCACACGCCCCTCGGGGCACCCGCTGGCCGCCGGCAGCTGGACGCGCGTCCCCGGCTGGGGCGGCGGGCGTGGGCCTGCGCCGCGGCCAAGGCCTCCACGGAGGGCTGGCGTCACCGCCCCGAGGGGCGCGGGACCAGGGCTGGGGCCCGCGGGGCCTGCCTCGGCCTCAGCTTCAGCCTGCGGCCCCCCGCCGGGGACGGGCGGCACACTCACCTCGAACGTGCCCGCGGAGCCCCGGAGAGGAGGCGGAGCTGCAGGAATGAATGGAGCCGGTGACTGCTCACTGGCGACCCCCAACCGGTCCGGGCCGCGCGGCTGGCGGCGAGCAGGGCGGATGCGGCCGTCTCCCCTACGCTCCCGACGCCCGGCTCCTGGTCCGCGGGTCGGCCGCAGCCCACCGAGCCCTCCGCCGGCGTGACGCACTCGCGCCGCAGCGCCTGGAGCTTTTGCAGCCGCGCCCCCCGCGAATCCCCCCGCCCGCCAGCGCCGTGCAGCCCCTCCTCGGCGCCTGGAACGCCAACCTGCCTCCCTGTGGGTCTGGCCGCCGGGCAGGTGCGGGCTCCGCCAACCGGGGGCCGCTAGACGGCCCCCGCCTCGCCACCGCCGCCCCCTCTCTCCGCCCCGGCAGCCTTGTGCGAGAGCTACAAGGCACGGCCCGACGCCCCTGCTCAGGGTAATGGCTCAGTAATAAAGAGTGACCTTGGCTTAGATACAGAAATAGGTGCGGGTAAACTGCAGGGACTACGACACTGAATTTGCTACCCCTCTAACGCCAGCATTCGCAGAATCCCGTTTGCACACCCGGGCCCCGTGCGGCCCCTCCGGAAATTTACCCAAGGTGGGCGAGACCATCCCGGTCTCGGGACAGGGATTCGGAGGGCCAGACGGAGCATCGCGGGCCTCCGCCCTGCCACCTCCTTCCTAAACCAACGGCCACCTTGTAGGATGCAAGGGAAGGGAAGTCCAGCGCCTCGTTCAAAATCCGGGCGAGCCCGAGAGCCTGGATTTCCATGTTGAGATAACAGGAACCCACCAAATCCCTGTGTTCACCTTTTCTCGTTCAGAATCTAAAACCAGCAAACTAACCCTGACCCAGAAGGACGCCGGCTCCACCCTCCTTTCCTCCCCTTTCTCTCCCAGCTCTCTTCATCCGCCTTAGTGCCCAGGGCCCTTAGCTAATTACACTCCTACGGACTGAAGATAAGCTCTGAAGTATTTAAAGCACGCTAGATTTCTCGAAGGAAATGCATGTCATGGTTTAAATTATATTTCATGAATGTATTGAAGAGGAGCATTATATGTAAGAAATCTTAAGACTTCCTTTTATAGTGCATAAACTGAAAAATAAACTCAGCTCATCCAATAAATTGAATTGCTTCTTTCTTTTCTCGGAAATATTTAGCAATCACAATAACAGTCTTTAACGAATTTACTTCAAAGAAAACTGGTTGTTAGGCTCGGGTTTTTTTTAAAAATCAAATAGGCTTTTTTATCTCTAGTTACCCAGGAGAGCAACTGTTATTGTTTAATTTGTAATATTAACAGAAACCTTAATGTTATACATTAAACATTTACCATTAACATTAACAATGAACTAACTAGACTTAATTCAGCAGGAATTTTTAATATAGTTGGGTTTTATCCAAGCAAACCTGGAAGGAAAGAAGGGAGGGGCAGGGGAACTCAAGAGTTAAAGATTTTAGCTTCAGTAATAGTTGACAGGCTTAAGTGATTATTGCCTGTAGAAAGCTGTTATTCCTGGAACTAGAATGCATGACCAGTGACTACAAAGGTCACAAGGAGATTCAACCTTGTGCAACAGGGTGTCCAAAAGCTGTGGAGATGGTATTTGAGCCATTGTGTTCCAGGGAGGAAACATCTGCCACTCAGGTGAAGAATTATTGATCAACAGATAAAGAAGTACAGTGGTACCTCCATACTCATCATTAATTTGTTCCAGAACTTGTGCAGAGTGCCAAAACTGGACTATGGAACCATGAAGCATTTTCTCTTGCAGGGCTGCGTTGGGACTCATACGAGTTCTAGCAAGTGCAACTGTCCCAAGCTAGCACCGTCAAACTGCAAGGAGTACAGGGTTTGACGAGTTCTGAAGCACAGAGTACTGAGGTATGGTCTTACTAGAAAAATCCCAGCCTGACTACAACTCTCATCCAATGAACCTTTTTTCCAAACCCCTTTCCTTGTCCCTGTAAGAACATTGGCTTGAGATGAGATGTTAAGATGGTCTTTGAGGGTACATAGCCCTTAAAATCTCAGATTGCCAGCATCTGAATAAAGCACCCATAAAAATTCAATCCTTGTCTCTACTGACTGATTCTGGTAGTAACAGGTGGCATGAACAGCAACTTTTCTGGTTTCCAATTGAAGGAAGGAAGGAAATTTAGTTATACTTCTAGAGCTGTATGTAAGTAGGAGTCCCCGGGGTAATCCCAAATAATTTCTACTTTGGAAAGATGTGTGGGGGTTTTTTGTTTGTTTTCTTATGTGTTTGTTTTGGCTGTGAGATACTACAGGGGTTGAAGCCTTAGGCCTTAGTGTAAAGCTAATCAATGTGACTTGCTTATAATGTCTGAAATGCATGAGTATGATAGGCTTTTAGCTATTGTGTTAGTCCATGGGTATTTGGGTATTTGTGCCTGGGAAGCCTGTTGCTCATTTGTCTGGCCACTCTGTTAGAAATAAGAATTCCACCCACACAGCTAAGAGAGGGGCCAATGGCCCATATCTAGGTAGTTAAACCCAGGTCTCTTCCTGTGGCAAGGATCCTGCTGAAAGTGCTATCTTCTCCCTACGTGAGGAGTGTCCCATGAGAGCACTCTGGCGTCATTCTCTTTTCTCTACTTGCAACATGATGTGGCTTGACATGTTTACAGAAGGAAAACCATTTATTTCCCTCTTCGTCTGAGATACATTAAATCTTGTAGGTTCACCCATACTCTAGGGATCCACAAGCTCTTCACGGGCAAAGAACTAAAAAAAAGTGTCTTATCAGATTAACACATGCTATAAATCACTACCAAAATATTTTGAAATATGCTTCGAGCCTTTTGTCTGAAAAGTTTTTTCTTAAAAATGAAACACCAAAGTGAGAGGCAACAAGCTTTTCTTTGAAATCAAAGAATAGATACTCCAGAAGCACTGATTCAAGAGAAATCCAAATAGTGTTTGATTTATGGGATGAGGGCAAAGGCTTTTTTATGAGAAATGGAAGGGGAATAATTACATGAATAGAAGGAATTTCTATTGGTGCTAATAAGTTACTGATTCTAAAAAATGACTTTTAATTTTCAGACCTCATAGTCAGCAAGTCTTTCCTATTATCCACAAACGGTGTTTGAGTTACAGTGGTGCTTTAGGTTCAGTCCAAAGGTGGTTTTACCCAGTTCAAATATTCCATAGGTTCAAGGAGTAAGAGTTGCAATGCAGTTCCTCTGAAATGGCTGCCTCTGCTCCATTTTAAAATGGGTCCGTTTCTGCCAATTTTTCACAGAGTAACAGGGTATTGCTTTGCTGTTTATTTTTGTATGTGCTTGTTTTAATGATTATTTTGTTAACCTATAACTAAAGAGAAATATTAAGAGTTCTCATTGTATTTTTAGCATGATGTGCCACAACACGGATTTGGGAGATTGCTGGTACAAATAATCCAGAAAAGGGCCCTTAAATTGCAGCAGAAAAGAGGAATTGCTAATTGCTAAATAATGGCTTTTTTGACTGCAGACAAATTGTCAGGCACTTTACTAACTTCTTTGTGGTAATTAACTCATTGAATCCTTATAACCATCCTTTGTGGTACATACCAATATTATCCCCAGTTTACCTAAGAGGAGATTAAGGCACACAGAGAAACTAATTAATTTGCCCATAGTCACACAAGTCCTAACTGTGGCACTCTGACTCAAGACCACATTCCCATAACCAGTATTCTGTCCCACCTCTCCTGGGTATAAAACTGAATGCCATATGATTGAATTTGGCTTTTGAAGTCCTACAACATACCAAATACTCAGTGACTTCGTGTTGCAGTGATTTCTTATACCTAGTATTATTTTCTTGGATTTAAAGAAAGAATTAACCCAAAGAAGAAAACTTGTAAGACTTCCTCTGATACATATTTAGCAAAATTATGTTAGTTTTTGAAAACCAAAAAGAAAACTTTTCACATCTTTTAGGGATCATTGCTCTCCAGGTGTTTTTGTTGTTTGTTTGGTTTGTTGTTGTTGTGTTTGTTGTTTTGGTTCTGGAGCACAATTTTATGAATATTTATTTAGTGAAAGGAAGAAATACATTTCCTTAGAAAAGATTCATCGCCATCTTTAACCCTCCCTTAGACTTAACTGAGTAGAGCTAGGATCCAATATATACAGGATATGTTTTAAATTCATAAAATCACAATGAGAAAGTTTTCATGATTGTGGCAACCCAGGTACTTCTAGATATGAACTATTAGCCAATTAGTTAACTAATTAGCTAATAATATCAGCTGTAGCAATTACAGCTGGTAATTGGGAAACTGAGAAAGCATTCTTTTTTACTTGTACTACAAGAAGAAAAGGGACTCCATATTCGAGAATCCTTCATTTCTTCCTCTCATATATAAAATATGTCACAGGAATGCTTTGGGGATTAAAAGTAATATTGGTGGGGTTTTCTCCATGAAACATACTACCATCTGCAGATTTCAAATTCCTGAGTGATACCATGCGCTTTACAAACAAAGTACCTGAAGAACAAGAGAAATCACAGGCTTCAGAAGCCAGGTTACAATGCTTCTCCTGGTTTGGTTTGGTTTCATATGAAGTAGAAGTTTAAGGACATAGTAAGTTTAGTTTGTGTTTAAGAAAAATAACATGGTATTCATTAATATTACTAGTGGAAAATTGCATACCTATTGTAATGCATTCACAGCAGATACTGCAATTTGCCTAGTCACCACCCATTCCTTCCTTTTCTTTGCCAGACCCAGTTTGGTTCAGGTTGGCAACATGCCCGACTAAAACTGTCTCCCCCAGGAGATGAGATAGCCATATGATTATTTTGGCCAATGAGATATAAGTAAAGATTATTCAGTATGCTTTC